GACTCCACAATTAGTACTGATTATCTAGTCCCCATGATTACCCAATCCTCTTTAAGGAAAAGTGCAGCAACATATATTTACTCAGATGTCTCAAAATTTGACCAATAGATGATTCAAGTTTCCACTGCATTTTAAAGATGAGTTTTCTTCCTTTTATTTTCAACCTCCAACTGAGAACCTCAGAGAAAAAAGAAAATAATAGACTACTTGGGTAAGACACTACCTGGGAAGGAAATTACAAAGATTCGGTGCCTTCATTCAATGATGTGGACAGATGACTTTTCTGCTCCTCCATGGCACTAATTTCATAGTGTACTTTGTAATTGGAACAACTGTTTGGTTCACTTTTAAAACATTACTAAATCATTCTTAAGGATATCATAGATGTCAAAATATTGTTTTTTCTGAAATGGTTACTCTTTTTCTGCTTGGGGTTTTACTAGAGGTATTTCAAAGTGTACAGTGCATGAGTTTCAAGGTTCAAAAATGTGTACAAAGGTTTTGAGGGAAAGGAAAAAAATTATGTAAGTTGAACCCACATACCTTTGCACAGAATGGGAGAGACTTCAGCAAGAATATTTTGAACATTTGCATTTTGGATATGGGGTGATACAGAGAGAATAGGACAACACAGTCGCATTTGCAGAAACTGAAGCGGAGTACATGGACGTTGACCAGTGATTTAAGTCCTTCAACACAGATTCAATACAGACAGTTGTTTATTCAATTTAAATGCTTATCCATTTGTCTTCTCATGTTCCCTCTTACTTCAGTCGCTCTGGTTACTGTGCTATATGATCCTATTTTTTTTTCCCTGTGTGATTATCCTTATTTACATTTCTACCTTTTTTCTTGTAAACTTTCTGAGGGGAAATATTTACACTTAATATAGGTTTAAGCAAAATATATTAGTAATAAATGATTGGAAAAAATTACACTCTGCAGACTGAGTTTATCCTGTTGGGATTGGCAGACACGCTGGAGCTACAGATTATCCTCTTTCTGCTGTTTTTTTGTGATTTACATATTTACAGTTCTGGGGAATGTTGGAATGATCCTCTTAATCAGGATTAACTCCCGACTTCACACACCCATGTATTTCTTCCTGGCTAACCTGTCTTTTGTAGACGTTTGTTATTCATCTACCATCACTCCAAAGATGCTGACAGATTTCTTTTCAGAGGAGAAAACCATCTCTTTTGCAGGGTGTTTCCTCCAGATGTACTTCTTTATAGCCTTGGCAACAACTGAATGCATTCTCTTTGGGTTAATGGCCTATGACCGCTATGTGGCCATATGTAACCCACTACTTTACTCCGTGATCATGTCCAGGACAGTCTGCCTTAGAATGGCAGCTGGGGCTTTTACAGCAGGATTGCTGAACTCCGTGGTGAACACAAGTTACGTAAGCATCATGCCATTCTGCGGCTCCAATGTCATCCATCACTTCTTCTGTGACAGTCCCCCACTTTTTAAGCTCGCCTGTTCTGACACACACCTGAACGAAAGCATCTTTTCCACTTTTGCTGGTGTTAATTTGATTGGGGTTCTGCTGGTTGTTCTCACCTCCTACTCTTACATTCTCTTCTCCATCTTTCGTATGCATTCAGGGGAGGGGAGAAAAAGAGCTTTCTCCACATGTGCCTCTCACCTGACAGCCATAATTCTGTTCTACGCCACCTCCATCTACACTTATCTGAGACCTAGTTACAACTACTCCCTGAATCAGGACAAAGTGGCTTCCGTGTTCTACACAGTGGTGATCCCCATGCTGAATCCTCTTATCTACAGCCTCAGGAATAAGGAAGTAAAGAAAGCTTTATGGAATGTAATTATCAGGAAAAGAATCTCTTCATTTCTGTGATTGTTGGCCTAAAAATCTGAACTAAATAGAGTAATTTATTTTTAAATGCTAATTCAAGCCTACATTTTTTCATTAGAATATTTTCTAAGTAAATGCATTTTGTTAATACTCAAGCATCTTTCTACAATTAGAGATAAGGTAAATTATCAAACTAATACAAGCCTGTGGAACACTCACTTTATGATCATTCTATGTCTTCACTGGGTCCTCAGAAATAGGGCTTATTTGTAATGAAATATTGGCTAGGGAAAGGAATAGATTAAGTGTTAGGGATTAAAGTCATGATATCACATGGAACTGGACATATAGATTAATTTTTATTAACCATTTTTTCTTATGTATTTTTTCACCATCTATTATTTTGAGAGATTGACAAATATCACATGTATCAGAAATGCTTAACATTTATTTCCCTTTTAATTAATTGGATTGTCTCCTGATGGGATGCTTATATTAAATTTCAGAGCTGTGGTTTTAATAGAAACTCTAAACCCCCTATCTTTTATTTTCTTCCCCTCCTACACTTATATAGTTACTAAAGAATAAGTGTGAGTTTGTGCAAAAGTGTGATATCAAGAAAACTAATTAGAATGTAGCAATTATAGTTCTCTTTTCCTTCCCTTCTATTACCCCCACGTTTTCTAACCCTTTTTCTGCACTGCCCCTCAAGACTGGCACACACACCAAACCACATGCCCACGTACTCAGATGTGGCAAAGATTCTAATCAGTACACAGTTTCTAAAAGGTAGATTAATGTTTAATGCATGAATATAACACATATTATTTAAAACAGGATCTCCAAATTCTTAACCACAAAATCTTCTATTAATTGCCAAGAAAGATTAATTGAACATAATCCTTGTGTTAAGGCTAAGCATGATTTATGTGGAGATAGACATGCAGTTGGCTTGGTCGAACTCTGGAGGTAACTGGATGGGGACTAGGCCTTGCTAAGGAGACAGGCACACTTTTTTGGAGGGCAATTCTTCATAGCTCTTGCCATTAACCTTACCACCAAAGTTGCACCCAATAAAAGTGGTGATGTTCACATTATCTGGAATGTGGAAATAGTCTACATGGCCTATCACAAAGAAGTCATTCAACTCATGCCCCACTAGTCAATGTAAATGACCCTGGTCAGAAAGATGTTCATGAATGCATCAGTGTTGTCTATGCACCTGTGGGCCATATTCTGTCAATCCACAGGTCCACAGTGATTACCTTGTCCTGGAGGTCTGACTGTCTGACCGGGTTTTCAGAGATGGTTCTCTCTTTACACTGAGTGGCTTGCCAGCATTCTTCTGCACCAGCAGCTGCTGGTTCACTGGATTCTCTCCATTTTCCCTGTGCTACTGTATTTTAGTGCTATCATACATAGATCCCAAATATTGTGCAACTAAATACTAATATTACATTACTTTCTATTTAAAACTTAGGAGTAGAAACAATGTTTGGAAGATGAAATCCAGTTATTTTGAGATTTGGAGTTTTAGACATATTTTGAACAATGTTCTCTGCTTTTTAATTCAGGTCTCTTACTTTTGAATAATTTCATTTACAAAGTCCACATTTCCAAATTTAGAAAGTCTTATCACTTAGTAGTGTTGAATGGTTTTAATTAATTGAATGTGTTTCTTATGTAAATTTTATTAATTGTTACACTTATTATAGTTAGAATAAAATATTTGTTCATTATTATATTTCTAGTTTGTTCAATAAATATATATATATATAAATATATATATATATAATGTTCTAAATATTTTTATTTTATTTAAATCAAAAGAAATTAAATTTGCAAAAGTATTGAGACACTGCTAGTTATATGGGATATGATTTTCTCATTCTCTTCTTTCTTAGAACTTGACAATTTTTATTAAATTCTACCTTATGAATGTAATACATTTTGACTCTGTTATACTGCTATCTCTATTGCTTTCTGATATTTCAATTTCCACAGTTTTTTCTTTCACTTGAGTGTTTAATATTACCACATTCTCAAAATAAACAATGTTACCACATTCTCAAAATGACCAATGTTTTGTCTTGTGCAATGGCTTATGAATAATGCATTTATTAACACTTGATGAAGGGAATGTGAAATGTGTGCCATTCAGTTTTCTTTGATCGATGTCTTCATCAGTTATTAGGTGAGGCCAAGTAGACTAGTTTACAAAACATGTGAACCCCCAAAAGTTGGGAAAATAAGCAAACAAGTAGGAAGGAATGAAAGAATCAAGATCGAGGGATCACAAGTATCTAAATAAACAACCAAAAAAATAAAATAAAATAAAATTACATTAACATGGAGTCCTTCATTAAGGCAGAAAATGCTTAAAAATGGTTTGTTATTAGTATGTAAACATAATTTTGGATTTACTTTATTAAATGTGCCTAATGTGTACAATGTAATTTTCATTCGTCTATTAGAAATGCAAAGTCAAACACTTTGTAAACAATAATTAGATAAAGGCTAGTGACTAGCTTAAGTGAAGTTGTAGACCCATTTTACTTAAAACTAGTCAAATAAAATCAAACATAATGTGGTAATTCATAATTAATTCATAATTCTTAAGCAACATGTTTCAAAGTACAGAGACAAACAATAGTATATCAAGAGGGCAATGCTCAAACTGTCAGTTGACTAGATGAAAAATCAAATACAAAGTAGTTGAGCTGGTGTGAGAATATGTAATCTGTAGAAGAGGAATACACAAATCATTTAATAGTTTTATTGAAAATATACAGAGTGTGTGTGTCTAGTAGAATGTGTGGCATCAGAAAGTAGAAATGTAGTCATTTGGTGGTAAACTTATATATAATTTATTGCTTTGGCTGGAAAATTATTTACTGCCTTTTTGATTTGCCTTAAATTTTCTGATTTTAATACTGCTGTGAAAACACTATGCCATGTCTAAGCCTCAGAAGATTCCTTGGAATGTATATGAGCCATTTAACAAAAATTATTACAACCATATTTGTTACTAAATCATGGAGTAATGAATATTAATCAGGGAATTCCAAGGTTTTCATGCAGGAGAGCAACCTGATGAAAATCTTTCAAAAATATCAATTTTCTGAATTGGGATCCAAACTCTCAACCTCCTGTATTTGTATGATCATTTTAACCAGGTATTGTAAAACAAATTAATAACATAAATAAATTGTAAATTATTAGCTAAGTTTCTTTTGAGGGTATACCAATTACCTCCTGTATTTGTATGATCATTTTAACCAGGTATTGTAAAACAAATTAATAACATAAATAAATTGTAAATTATTAGCTAAGTTTCTTTTGAGGGTAT